GTTAATGGTCTTACTAAGGACATCAACGTCAAACCAAGTGACGCTCCTTTTCTTTGCGGATGACGTGACAGATAAGGCGCAGTATACACAGATGCCCCTATCTAGAAATTCCACTAATTCAAAGGTATTAAGAAACCTCTTACTGCTCACACTCCAAGTAAACCATTATTGTTTACTTCTCTTGTTTAACTGTGCGCAAAGATTTGCGACAAATGTACCTTAGATCATTTAATTTCCCTGTAATAGCTTTAGCTTTCCAATTCTTCCACTGGTTGCTGGTAAACTCTGTTCTTTTAGGCATTAAAGTAGATATTGATTAAATTCGATCTAGCCTATTTTGACAAGCATTTCTGACTTCTTTTTTTGATAATTTTTTTGACTACTTTTCCTGCATTTTGTTATAGATTTATTTCGTTGGTTTCAATGGTGGACAGTTTCTAGCTATTGATGACGTTTCCTTCACRAAAGAGCCYTGRAAACAAATACCTTGGAAACAAAATGAAGGTAATAAGGTAGACACTAGACGCTTTTTAATGATTGGGTTTCTAAATGATTTGCCATATTCCTCCATTACTTCTGGTTTACGCCAAGTTTGTTTGTCTGTTTGTTTGTTTTTCATTTTTGTTACCTGACTTCTTGAGAGGTATTTTTCGATAAAATGCTTTTATTCCATGGAATATTTAGAATGTCAAAAAGATCTCGGCATGGAAAACGGTGAGATCTCTGACAGACAGGTTACAGCCTCTTCGCAACTGGATGCCAGTCACGCTGCCACCCAAGGCAGATTAAACTTGAAAGCAACTGGAAACAAAGCAGAGTCTTGGTCAGCTTTCAGCAATGATCCCAGTCAATGGCTCCAGGTTGATCTGGGCAGTCCGAACACTAAAGTGACACGTGTAGCAACGCAAGGTAGAAATGATCCACCTCAGTGGGTAACCAAGTACAAACTGCAGTTCAGTAACGATGGAGTGAAATTCCACTATTATACAGATCCAGGACAAACTGAAAACAAGGTAGAATACGTTTATAGGACCTTGAACTTTTTTGTAAGAGGAGGATAGTATAACAACAACGATAACGTTAACGACAATAGCATATTAGAATGAGCAAACGATGACAGAGGGGCATTGCCCCAATAATTGGGAAGAAAGGCTTTCTTCGGATAAAACAGCCTATATTTGATAACTCCAAACGAGTAATTTATCTTCCTTAATTTTGGTCGCGAATATTCATAAGGAAAAAGGTTTTCAAAGTTAAGGTGGAAGATGGAGTTCTAATTTTTAGGTGTGTGCAATGTTTGAAGTGATCGATTCCAAAAAATTACCACCTTACTGATGTAGGAATTTGCTGGAAACGCAGACCAGGGCTCTGTTGTCTACCGTGAGCTAAATCCTCCAATCAGAGCACGCTACATCCGCTTTTTACCACAGGCTTGGCATGGGCACATCTCAATGAGGGTGGAGCTGTATGGATGTCACAAAGGTAGGATTTTGCCTTTTAATTTGGCAAACATATGTCATATGAAGATATTTCATATTTATTCCACGAGCGCGCACTGGATATGAGATGTTAGATAGTCAACGAGGCACGAAGCGCCGAGTTTGCTTTAGCCATCTCATATCCAACAAGCGCAAGAGGAATAATCGTCTCATTAACAACGCCCCCAAAATATGGAAACCTAAAATAAAATATCAATAAAAAAAGCGCTGAAAAATTACGCGTACGTTTACTATATTATTTTGTAGAGCACGGTTTAATGGCTCATATACCATGATGGCTATACCAATCAAAACTCTTGAATTGCATTATCAAATGATCTAGTGTCTGATATCTGACATTTATAATGTGAGAAGTTATCGGTAGCCTTTAGGGAGTTGTAGGTAACGAAATGCTTTTGAAACTGTGCATGTCATTTAAACGAGCAAGCAACAACATGAATAATGTTTGGTAGAGTTTAACCCTAACCCTAATGTTTAGCTAAATAGTAAAGCCTTTTTTTTCTTCATAGGAAGCGTGTATCATTTGATTGAAGCTTTATATGAGCAAGTGATACTATTTTTTTAAAGCGTTACAATTATTTTAGACCACTTACGTACTTTTGAAAGGGAAACTGTTGTAAGCGAGCGACCCATGCTTTGTCTGGTGAATAAGGGCGTCTTTCTAAATTTGGTGAGCAACTGCGACAAATGAGTAAAATAAACAAGATGTTTTTCCGACTTAAGGATTCCAGTGTATCGGCAGTTATATATACCAACAGACGCTCATTATTATTAAAGTCGTACCAAAATAAACTATTTGCATCGATTTCATAAAAATTTAAGATTGCCAAGAAGCTCTCGGTATGGAAAGCGGTGCAATCCTTGACGGACAAATTAGCGCCTCTTCGGAATTGGATGACGATAATGCAGCCATCCAGGGAAGACTCTACTTTCAAGCAACTGGAACAAAACAGGGAGCTTGGTCAGCTGCCCAAAGTGATCCCAAGCAATGGCTTCAGGTTGATCTTGGAAGTCAGTTCACTAAAGTCACGCGAATAGCAACGCAAGGACAAAATGGCGGTCAAACTCAGTGGGTAAGACGGTACAAGCTCCAGTATAGTAACGATGGAGTGAACTTCCACCAAACCACAAATAAGGTGAGTGACGTAGAATTCCCTAACGAATGCTTGATCAAATTGTTCTGACAAATCTGCTTCAATTAGAGTCCGCGTCACTATGGATTGCGGCGGTGCTCTTGTAATTCGGGATCAATTGGGAATGTGGTCAAACGGTGATATTTCTTCTAAATCAAATGCGTTGAGATAAAACTAAGGAACAAAAAGATATGATATCCAAACACTGTCACACTTTGTACATGTTTAGACTTGATGAATCATCAATGAATTACGATTTTATTTCTCAGTTTCTTTCTTAGTTTTAGTTTCATGGAGACGATATACCAAACACTCAAGACAGTAGTATACATCAGGAAATTTTGTTTGACACTGACTCTACCAAAACTTATACAAACGCTCTTTTCGGTGCTTGGAATTGCGGTAAAACGCGGTGTTCCGTGTTTGATATATTACTTCAAGCAGTTTTGTATTGGGAATTGTTTAACACCTCTCGTAAATAAAGTCCGAGAGTTGTTTTACTAGCTTAGTCGTGGAAGCTGGTAGATATGGATTGGAAGTTTAAGAGTGTGTAATTGGTTCAATTAGCCATTTTTGCAGAGGTCCCTCTAACTTGAAGGAAATAAAATATTTTGACTACTTTTTTGGCCAATCATTTACTCTTCAAACCCAACATGTTTGGCAAGTTTGAGCGAAATAGGTAATTTGAGCTGTATCACCTCCTCCCTGGTTCTGCCTGTTTTTTTTTTTTTTTTTTTTTTTATGGACTTACTCTTAAGCAATAATATTTGAAAATCATGCATTACCGTTTTCCCTTTTTCAGGAATTTGCTGGAAACACAGACGAAGACACTGTTGTTTATCATGAGTTAAACCCACCAATCAGGGCACGTTTTATTCGTTTTCGACCAGTGGCTTGGAATAAAGCCATATCAATGAGGGTTGAGCTCTATGGTTGTCATGAAGGTAGGAAGATTATAATTTATTCTCGATAAACAAAATTTTACCATAAGATGTGTGAGCCTGGTGGCCCTTCAGGAGGATGCATATTTCTGATCTCGTGAAGCTGGATGGGTGCCTGCCATTCAAACAAAAATCCGGAGATTTCAATACCGGGAGCAAATGGCACGGAATTTAACGGGAAAGTTTCCGGAAAAAGTCACAAATTGTTAAATTGCCGAGATGCGAACCATTTAATCTAAAATACGAGAAGTCCCAGGAGAAAAATATGTTAGAACAGCACTGCAGCTCACCGAAGCTCACCCAATTTTAAGCAATTTCAGCACTTACCAACTGGCAAGAGACTCAGAACGGACTGAGAAGTAACCGTGTAAGGTTGAGATGGCATATACCTATTACATTAGAGTTAGAAAAGAGGTAAAATATTAGGAATAATGGAAAATTCTATACCCTTAAATCGAAAGGCAAAACTAGTCAATGGCAGCTTAAAAATTTTCAAAGTTACGAGGATTTGTACGGAAAGTGACTGGAGGGCAAAGCGTCTTCTTCCGATATAAATCCTACTAACTTCTAACGTCCATAAAAATTTCTTCTTAAAGGACATAAACCTGAAAATATGCTTGTAAACCTATTAATGATCTTCTTCTCATTTCTGATAACATTATGAATTATTAGTCAATGAATAAGTGTGTTCTTGAAAAGCATGTCACGCGACCAACCGTCGCAATAGGCCTATTTTCAAGTTTATCTCAGCTTGTACAAAGTTCTCCTTATACTGCGAGGAAATCGTCCTTCTTTGATATTGGGCCCACATTTTGCCCATAAAAGACTGCTACTCATCCAATTCGAACTCATAGTTAAACAATAATAAACAGAATTACCTAAGATACTATGACCCTGAGTCTCTTTAAAAATCGATGATGAAATCAGCTCAATTCAGATCAACTTACCTGCTCTCTCGTTTTAGAATGCCAAGAAGCTCTGGGGATGATAACCGGCGTAATCTCTGATGCACAAATTACAGCTTCCTCGATATGGGATTCCAGTCATGAAGCCTTCCAGGGCAGACTTAACTTTCAAGCCATTCCAATGAAGTCGGGATCTTGGTCAGCTGGTAGAAATGATTTTAATCCATGGCTCGAGGTC